ATGGCTTCCTTAAATATATACAGGGGTATCAATAATTGCTGGTCTATTTTAAATATTTATTTTAGATAAAAACTTCGTTCTTTCAAATGCAACTATGTATATTTTTAAATAAGTCGAAGCAGATTTAAATGCTCTTTCAAACTATATTAAGATATCCTATACCTATCTGGCTCAGATTTTTAATAAAAAACGATTTTTCAATAAAATTGTAATCAAGATGGCTGGTGTCGCCATGGCAATTTTCTAGTGACACTTAGTAGCTATTTTTAAACTCGACTTTAGTTTATGAACTTTATTTAAATTTATAACCGGTTATTTTTATTTAATTTAACTAAAATAAGCTTAATAAGTATGTATTTATTATTTTATCAAGAAAAATGAAGCAGTATCTGTTGGAGAAAGAATGGATATGTTACTACTAATTTTATTTTGAGAGGACAATTGCTTGTTGGTTAGGTTAGGTTATCGCTGATGAAGTCTACAATAATATTTTCGTTAGGTACTTAAAAGGACATATAATTAACATACTATAATTAAAACTGTCTATATCAATAAAACCACAGCTAGCACAAATAATCAAAAGCAATCAGAAAATAGAGAAGTGGTTGGCCTTCGCCTCAAATTCTTTAAAAGATATTAGATGTTTGTCAAACTTTTGAATTATAATCTCCAGTTTTCACTTTATCTGATTTATCGCTTATAAAGTTTTAATGATCGCCTTTGAGACTTAATTTATATAAAGATATATTGGATGGCGGAAGACCAGCTTGTGTTTCAACCTAACCACCTCATAAATTTTAGTTAAGGGAGGAATACACTGAAAAAAATATCAGAAAAAATGTAAATATTAGATTTGTTTGTTAGATTTAAGTAATACTTATTCGTATGTAGTGCTCTTGCGGCTAAAGATTAATTAAACCAACTAGTTTGATTAAAAAGTTATCCAAGTCATTTATGCAAAATGCAAAAAGGTTTGGAAAAATGTATAAAAAATACCTATTTAAGAACTTTATTTCAGTAAGTTATTTATTTAGAGAATAAGATTATAACATAACAGACGTCTTAGAAATAGACTAAAAATACAAAAAGTAAAAGAAAAGTAAACTTTAATATTTGGCTTATTATACATGGTGAATCGAAGGGTTCTTTTTATACACAGGGTAGCGCACCTCATTCGCCTCGGTTGATTATACGAAAACGGAAAGATGTAGAAACCAAATATTTTATGGATATATGTGGGGAGGCTATGCGGGGAGGCAATGTGCACAATTTAAAATTATTTTGAAATACACTAAGATCCATACCAAAGTTATATTTTTTCTTATGGAACACTCAGTATTTTATTTCATTTTTAGATTTTTGGGCCCAAAAAAAGGCATTTATTATAAGGGGTTAAGTATATTTAAAATCTTTGGTTTTTGAGATATTTAAAGATATTTAATATGCATGCTACAAGAGAACTGATTATTAACACCCTGTACATTACTTTTCAGAATTAATGCTTGTGTTTCTGAGATTAAAGGTAAAGAAATAAGCTTTACTAAAAAATATTATTGATTCCTTAAATTTATACAGGGGTACCAAAAATTGTGATCTATTTTGAGGTTAAGGATCTATTATTTATTTTACATAAAAACTTTGTTATTTCAAATACAACACCCTGTATTTTTGTAAATAAATCGAAACAGATTCAAATGCTCTTTCAAACTATATTAGGGTTTCCTATACCTATATATCTCAGATTTTGAACAAAAATGATGAAATCAAGATGGCTGGTATCGCCATGGCAATTTTCTAGTGACAGTAGTTAACTATTTTCAAAATCGACATTAGTTTATGGACATTAATATTTAAACAGTTTACTAAAATTTGCCCACAATAGTTTAATAAGTAAGTATTCTTTATTTTATGAAGAAAAATAAAGCCGTATCTGCTGGCGGAACGAACGGATATGTTATAGTGATTTTATTTTGTGAAGAAAATTATTTCTTGGTCTGAAGAGCTTATGCTCAAAGATATCCAAACAGGAATCTTCCTAATAAGCGTTCCTTTGAAAAACTACTTGTATTTGTAGACTTCCTTGTACGTGTATTTCGCAGAGTTGGTAGTGTAGTTTATAAAAAACCTATTAGGCAGAAACCTGTCGTTGGAAGTGAAGAAATTGAATTTGCCTTAATTGGCTCTTTTATAGAAAATTCATATATCCACAAGTCATCGTAAAATAAAACAAAGAACTACTTCTTCATTTTTCTTGATAGAATAATAAATACATATTAATAAATATTATTTATTAAACTATTATAGGTAAATTAAATAAAAGTAAACTGGTATAAATTTAAATAAAGTCTATAAACTAAAATTATCATTAGAAACTTGCCCTGACGACACTAGCCCTCTTGGTTACCATTTTATAGAAAAATTGCTCTTTATTCAAAATCTGAGCTAGATAGGTATAGGAAACTCTAATATAGTTTGAAAGAGTATTTGAATCTGCTTCGATTTATTTAAAAAAATACAGGCTGTTGTATTTGAAATAACGAAGTTCATTTTGCTCTTAAAAATTAACCAAGGCATTTGTTGCCATGAGTCAAAAACAAGATATTCAGGAGACATGGTTCTTACCGAAAAATAATGTTTTAGAAAAAATTGCTGACGAACAGTGTGTTTTAAAGTTAAGTTAAAAACAACCCTTTGATTAACCCTGTATAATAAGCCAAATACTAAATTTTATAAAGAAAGAACGAATTAAAAAATGAATTAATTGATATATTTATATACAATTTAGCAAATTTCAAGTAAAGTCAGTCAAGAAAATACGTCTAAAAATAAAAAATAAATATGTAGCAAAAATTCTTTTTAAATTTGACAAAAAAAACTCCGTTGCATTTTGTGTATTTTGTTGGACCTTATTAAATTAGATTAATTTTATTTGAGAAGAAATCGGAACTTTTCATTATTAATCCTATACAAATTTTACTGAATAAATAATTCTGATATACAGGGTGGTCCGAACTGTATTCCGAAAACTTCAGCAGCATATTCTGCAGATAAAAATAAGTAAGAAAGTTCGTATAAATGTATGTCCTAAAATGCTTAGTTTCAGAGATATAGGGTGTAGAAGTTTCATTTTTATTTCGATTATTTTCAAATAATTTAAGAAGTAACGTCAATATTTGGATGAAAATTGGTGTCTGGGAATTTTTTGACATGAGAAATTTGATTTTGATGTCAATATGACTCCTACTTGTAGAAGGCGCCACCTACATATTTTAACTGGTTTGAAGAATAATAACTTTTCGTCCGTACCTGTATAAAACTACTGAGTAAAAAAAAATACATTTACGACGTTTTTTACGCAAAAAAAGCCTCTTGATAAAAATCGCTACGAGTAATGGTTCTGGAGATATTTGGAATCAAAGTTGTCAATACCTGTCATCATTGACATAAATTAAACATGTTGATAGTTATTAGACTGAAATCATAAATTTGAAATGTTTTTGTCAAATTTGTGTTTAATTTAAAAAAATAAAAATTTCCCAAATTTATTATATCTTCTTAACGTTTTTATTTTTTGTCAATAATGATATATATTGACTATTTAGATTCTAAATATCTTGAGAACGGTTGCTCGTAGCGATTTTTACCAAGAGATATTTTTTACGTAAAAAGTTACAGAAATGTATATTTTTCCACTCAGTAGTTTTATACAGGTATAGATGAAAAGTTATTAGTTTTCAAAACAGTTAAAACACATGTAGGTAGCGCCCTCTACAAATGGGAGTCATAGTGACAACAAAATCAAATTTCTCATGTCAAAAAACTCCCAGACTCCAATATTCAACCAAACATTGACGTCACTTCAGAAATTATTTGGAAAAAATCGAAATAAAAATGAAATTTCTACACCCTGTATCTCCCAAGTAAGCCGTTTTAGGACATATATTTATACGAACTTTCTTACTTATTTTTATCTGCAGAATATGCTGCCGAAGTTTCCGGAATACAGTTCGGACCACCCTGTATATTGTATACCCAGTAAATATTGATTTCGTCCTGTAATTCTCAAAACAGTACCTACATCTTTACTTGAAATCCGTTTTAATTTGGATCATTTTTTTTTCGGTGTACACAGAAAAAGACACGTGTTTTTCATCCTTTCAAGACCGATAAGGATAATCGATTTTCTTGCCGATATAAATATTCCCTTTTTATTTTCCGAGAAAACCAGTGTCACGGAAAAAATCCCAAACCTTACCCAGTTCTGAATAAGCAACAAGCCGACTCAATAAACTGTACGAATTATTTTAAAAATACTACAATAGAGATTTAACACACACTAGCTAAAAACGTGTCCATAAATTAGAAATATCAAATCTATAATTTAATTTTCCATGAATTTATTTCGCAGTAAAATAAAATATCCATTGTTATTTAAAAATACGTTTGATAATACGCAAAAATATACAAAAATAAATATAGAATAATGCCAACATTAATAGGAAGGAACTACGCTTGTAAGAAATAATTGTCTGCTTATTTTCCTTATACTATATTATCGTAAGAGCACAACAGGCTCTTAACCTAAATTTTCTGTAGTAAAACTCGGTAATATCAACATTATTTGGTGACCTAGTAAACTGCTTAATTTATTTCAAAATGAATGCGGAAATTTATGAAATAAAAGACATTATTAATAACAAGACTATAAAGACTGTTTACAACAAGATTATAAAGACTGTTGTACTAAACTAGAGAAATAAATTTAATTAATCTATTTAGATTTTAATTAATATCTTCAAAAAATGTATGCCAGTAATTTAATAATAAGGAACAATAAAAAAGGAATATGAGATGTTTATTTATGACTGTAGTATTGATTCATGTACCGATTGGTTAGTTATTTTCAGAGTCAATTTAGATGTAATCACAACAAAAAAAAATGAAATCTAGAAATAATAAATGACTTTAACATGTAACAATAAAAATACGTTTAATTTCAGGCAATGAAGATATTATCAAAGAAGAAACTGTTTAAAAAATCAGGAATGTTTGGCAGAATGCCACCAAAAAAAGATGGACGATCAAACTCATCTCCAGTTAATCATCCCCTAGAAAAAGTCTATAGAGAAATTGCAATTTTGAAGAAATTGAACCATCCAAATATTGTTAAATTAGTGGAAGTAAGTAAAATAACACTAAAAAATTTCCTAATTAAACATTTTTTTATTTCTATTTTTTTTTGTTGAATGTTTTATAAAATAGTATTCATTAAAACTGACATTGTGATTGTTTACATCACTTAAAATGTTTATTTTTTAAATTATTGCCATACTAAAAACCATTGGTTTATAACTAGCAATAGATCGAAAAGTAAATTGTTATATAATATTCTTTAATATAATAGACTCCTACCTATAATAGACTTTTCTCACTATTTTCATAATTTGTTTAGATATGATTTACAAATTGTGATAGAATAGACTAGGTATTTCAAAACTTTTGTTAAGCCTGATTAGCTACATCGTGACTACATTCTACAAAATATGTGTAGAAAATGTAGAGAATATACTTAAAGAGTTTGTAGCACATTTAGACAGTCTACTAACTTATTTAGAGTAGGTAACGAAATTCTAATATCAAATTTATTTCAAGTTCAGCAACATTATGCGTATTTATTAAATAAAACCTATAATTTTAATTTTAATTAGCAAGAAATCTGTCTATTTGATACTTATAAATCTTAAATATGACAAATTTGATTTAAAATAGAAATAAAACTGTATTAATCAAATATATTTCGATAAGGATAAGATATTTTTCAATCTTTACCCCGATTAAGTGTAGTTATTATAGAAAATATAGTCAGACGAAGCAAATATTGGCTATATTTTTATATTCATGATGTTAAAAGGTTAAGACATATTGGAAATTGTAATTATTTTCTAACTGTTGAGTGACACACCATTAAGATCATGTCTATTATTGCTTATAATAGAATATTCAAATAGACACAGAACAGACAATGATTATTGATTATACTTACAATAGAAAAGTTTGTATTCCTTTTTCTGGCCATTATGTGTTTCTAATCTAATAAAAAATATTAAAGAGATTTCGTCATTAATGAATGAAATGAAAATATTGATTTCTTATCGTACAAAAAAGATAATATTAGGAGCAAAACATTTAGATTCCATAGCATTTTCATAATTTGTTTAGATATGATTCACAAATTGTGGCAAAATAAACTATTTGGAAATTGAATTTTATATTTTTAATGCTGATTGACTACTTTTAAGTAAATGTGGAAGAGAATAAATTGGGAGAATAAAAAATACTTAACTTGTAATTTATGTACATATTTAGTCGTTAGAGTCTGTTAAACTTATTTAGTTGCAAGTAGTTTAACATCAATATTCAACTTCAAGTTCAGGAACATAATGCGCTTCTATTAAATCAAGTCTTAAGCTTCATTCAGAACCTCCCAATTAGTGGAATAAATTAGTGGTTTCAATTACACTTTATACTTTGTAGTTTACAATCATTCACAATGTCTAAAGAATGCAATTAAAATTAAGAAAATATCCTAGCAACATCTTGCGGTAGTCTGTTGTATCTATAGAGAAACCATAACATTTAGCTTATAAAACAATAAACTTTTGATTTCTAACCAAAATTATTCTTGACGGGTAATAATCAAAGGCCAAAATGACATTCCTCGCAAATTTTGAAGTATAATTAGTGCAAAAAACAAAAGTTTGTTAACTTTTTCCACTAATTGATAAATACTACCACTAATTATAACGTGGTCTTAGCTTAAAGCTTCATTCAGAACCTCGAAATCAGTGGAATAAATTAGTAGGTACAATTACCCGTAGAAATTTGTTCACCTAATTTTAATGTAAGCATTCAGAACGTCATAATTATTAGTGGTAGTAATTTTCAATTAGTGGAAAAAGTTAACAAATTTTTGACTGTATTGTTGTTTGTTAATTTTAATTGTATTTTTTAGACATTATGAATGATCGAATAAACTAAAAACTATAAAGTGTAATTGAAATCACTAATTTATTCCACTAATTGGGAGGTTCTGAATGAAGCTTTATAATCTTAAATTGACTTTGTATTTATAAATCATAAATTTATATGTCCAATTAATATATAAATATAAATATACTAACCATGTATACGTCAATAAGGATATTTTGCAATTTTGAGCCGTCTCTTATATAGTTAGATGAAGCAAATATCGGCTATATTATTATATTAATAATGTTAGAAACGATAAGACAAAGTGGAAGTTGTAATTAATTTCTGACTGTTGAAAGGCGCACGATTAAAATCATTTGTATTATTATTTGTAATACAATAGTCAAATAGACATAGAAACCAGACATAGATTGTTGATTATACATACAATGGAAAAGTTTCAAATTGCCTGTTTTGGTCTTTATATGGTAGGTACTAGTATATTGAAAACTATCATTAAAACTACGCTATTAATTTCAGATTGAACTTAGAGAATTTACTTAATAGCTTTAATATAGAAATAAAACATTTAATTTAATGTAAAACTTAATGTTTTACCTCCATCTCATATTGTTTTATTCATTTATAAAAAATGTAACTATATTTACATTTTAGTTTTGATTTTTTAACATTTTCAGAATTTGTATAGACATGATTTAAAAATTATTGTATAATGGATTATTTAAAAACTCTATTTCACTTTTTAAGGCTTAGCTTAACATAACAGTGTATACCAATAATTCAAAAACATAAAAGTATAGCACAAACTTGAAAAATGATATTAGTACGTCAGTTTTCGGCTTTTGAAATTCAATTTGAGTAAATTTGACAGATAGAATATGTACAAAAGACAATCTCAAGATATTCAGGGTGGTCCAAACTGTATTCGGGAAACTTCGGCAGCGTACTTTACCGATAAGAATCGGCAAAAAAAATCGTATAAACTATACCCTAAATTGTTTTGTTTTGGAGATACAGGATGTAGAAATTTAATTTTTATTTTAACTTTTTCCAAATGATTTCTGAACTAACGTTGATATTTAGATGAAAACTGGTATCTGGAAGTTTTTTTACATGAGAAATTTAATTTCGTTGTCAATGTGACTCCTATATATACGGACCACTCCACCTTCATATTTTTTTAACTCGTTTGAAGAGTAATCATTTTTCGTCTGTACCTGTATAAAACGACTTAGTGAAAAAATATATATTTCCGCCGTTTTTTATGTACAAAAGTCATCTTGGTAAAAATCACTACGACTAACTGTTTTCAAGAAATTTTGTATCTAAATTATGAATACATGTCATTATTGATAAAAAATAAACATGTTGGCTAGATAGTTGTTTATCTGAAATGATCAAATTTATAGTTTTTTTTAAATTAATTATATTTTTTCTAGAAAAAATTATGATGAAACACTTCCTGTTGAACCTTTGACACAAAATTATTTCAAATTTATGATTTCAGTCTAATAACTATCTAGTCAACATATTACTTTTTTTTAATGATGACATGTATTGATTATTTTGATTGACAATATCTCAAAAACCATTAGCAATAGGAATTTTTAACAAGAGATCTTTTTTACGTAGAAAATGGCAGAAATGTGGATTTTTTCACTCAGTAGTTTTATGCAGATACGGACGAAAAATGATCACTTTTCAAACCATTTGAAAAATATGTTCATAGCGCCCCCTACAAGTAAAAATGTTTTGAAACGGTTTACGTTTCAAAATGTATTTTAATGTAGTCCTAAATAAATAGATACAGTTTTAACAAACATCTATTTATGACATAAATTAGTTAAAACCAGTGTTTTAGACAAAGATCGGCGAATCAGACCAGAAGAAATTATGAAAATATTGTAATTTACATTTATCTTACTTTTTAAGTTTGTTATGACCGTATTATTAAAAAAGTAATTCATAGAACTAAAGTACCCATCTGAACTGTATAATCGAACAAAAAACGGCATCAAATTCACGTTTGAAATGAAAATGGTTGAAAAATCTATATGTCGTAAACAATTAAATCGTTATTAATATTAATTAAAAAAAAATCAAAAAGCAAATCTATAATTGTGACTGTTATACCAGGTGCATCTCAAAAGTGGTTGTTTTTTTATTTTTTCAGATAAAAAATCGAGATTTGGTATATTACTATGTGACATAAATTAGAATTGATTCACGTATTGAATTGTTTTCTATCACTTCCTGTTTCACCGGAAATGACTACAACTTTGATTTTTAAATGGTACCCTCGGTGTTTTGTTGCTTTATTCGATAGAAAATGACACTCACGAATAGAATGACATATCATATGTCAACTTTTGACATTTTCGAATATGGTTTATTTGAAATTGCAACATACGATTCATAACGACAATTTCACTCAAAATACCAAGTGTGTAGTACCAAATTATTCGTAAAAAAATGCTTTTTCTAAATATGCTAATGAGCCACCCTCCTTACATTTGAAAAAAAATGGGGGGGATATAATTAAAAATACGATTTGGTCATCTTTTAACCGGCCTAGACAAGACACAAATAACATTAGACGATCAAACCTATTTTTCCAAGGCTCTTTGAAAAATTAGTGTTTTTAACACAGCCATGGCACTCTAGATTGAAATTTAAAATTCAATTTTGTATTAAGCTAAAATGTCAAAAGTTGACATATGATATATCATTCTATTTAGAATGTCATTTTCTATCGAATAAAGTAAAAAAATACCGAGAGTGCCATTTAAAAATTAAAAGTTGTAGTCATTTCCTCTAAAACAGTAAGGGACAGAAAACAATTAAATACGTCAATTAATCCTAATATAGGTCATATACTAACACACCAAATCTCGTTATTTTATCTGATAAAATAAAAAGTTATAGAGGTGAGCCACTTTTGAGAAGCACCCGGTATATCACGATTTGCGCGGAAGATTTTTAAATAATTCTAAAAAGAAAGGTAGCATTAAATATAATCCGATAGAAGTATTAAAGATTACCATCCAAAAAAGATATATACTCTTTTAAAACAGCATTCCGCTTTGTCATTGGAATACTGATGTAAAAATAAACAAGGGTAGAATAAGGGCCTTTTGGATCTCGAAAATGCATTCGCTCCACCGACTTTTCCGCTTGCCGTAGCAACATT